AAAATCAAATTAAAGCAAGCTTATTATTTCGACCAGCCGGGCTGCCTCTCCCTCCCAAAACAGCGGGAACAAGACAGCCCCCCAGCTTTGCAGCCCAGCTTTATAGCCCAGAAAATTACACAAAGGGGGGTTACAGATAACAGAACTCTTGACAAGCATCACACTAATGGTAGTTTACATTTTTTTGCTGGCCCCAACATCAGAATTTATGAGGACCATTAGAGCCTCAGAGAGGGTCGTTGTCTGGCCAGGGAAGGCCAATATTTATGAGGTATCACTAAAGTTTCAGAGAGGGCTGCTATCTGGTCAGAGAGCCAGGCATGGGTGAGTTCAAGGCACAGGCAGGCATTCCAAGCAGGTTCAGAATTTGCAGTAATTTATAGTAAAGCCGAAATTATCTTTTCATGGCTTTGTGGCGAAATGGCTCCCAATTTTAAGAAAAGATCAGGTTGGGTTTATCAATAGCTCAGAGACAGAGGGCTTGCCTAGCATGCATGAGCCACTTGGTCTGATCCTCAGCACCACATAAACAAAATAAAGGAATTCTGTCCATCTATAACTGCAAAAAATAAATTTTTAAAAAATGTGGTATATATACTCATTGGAATACCACAAAGCCATAAAGAAGAATGAAATTATGACCATTGCTGGTAAATGGATGGAACTGGGGGTAGGGACGGGGGCGGGTGTGCCAGAGGATATAAGTTCACTGGATTAGACAAAGGGGCCCAAGGGAAAGCAGGCTGGGTGGGAATGGGAAAGAGAGTAGAATGAATCCACATCACTTTCCTGTGTTCCTATATGAATATATAACCAGTGTTACTCCACATCATGTACAACCACAAGAATGGAGAGTTATACTCCATGTATGTGTGATATGTCAAAATACACTCTACTGTCATGTATAACTAAAAAGAACAAAAAAAATTCATTCCAAAAAAATAAAAACATAAGAATTGCCAGGCATGGTGGCACATAACTGTAATCCCAGGGGCTGGGGAGGCTGAGGCAGGAGGATCACAAGTTCGAAGCCAGGCTCAGCAAGTGAGGTGCTAAGCAACTCAGTGAGACCCTGTCTCTAAGTAAAATACAAAACAGGGCTGGGGATGGGGCTCAGTGGTCAGTGCCCCTGCATTCAATCCCCCACCAAAAAAAAATTCAGTTGATAGCATGGAGCCAGAATGCAAGAAGGCAGGAACAGTGGTGGCTCCTGTGGGGTGGCGAATGTTAAGAAGGAACAGGGCTAGATGCCTGAGGATAAGGAATAGATAAACTGAAGGCAAAGTCCAGGAAACAAGAGCCCTACAACCTCTCCTTTGGGGGGAGCACCAGGGATTGAACCCAAGGTGCTTTCACTGAGCCACGTCCCCAGCCCCCCCCCACTTTTTTTTTTTAATTTGGGACAGGGTCTTGGCAAGTTGCTTATGGAGTCTAAGTTGCTTAGGCTGGCCTTGAACTTGTGATCCTCCTGCTGGGATCACAGGTCTGCGTCCCCAAACCCAGCAGGGTCCTATAATCTCTTGACATGCATCTTGAGCCTCTAGTCATTCTAGATGCCTTGGGTCAAGGGTGGTAGTAGCTAAAGCTCCCATTCTTAGGTAGTGGCTAAGTGCACAGGTCCTGTCACCTCCTTTGGAGAAGCTCCATTGACAGTGCTTTCATCCTTATTTTCCCACTGCTGTACAGGACACAGATGGGGACACAGTGGAAGCATCCTTCTTCAAATACTTCTATCTCTGGGGCTGGGAATGTGGCTCAGTGGTAGAGTGTGAACTTGGCATGTGCCCGGCCCCAGGTCCATTTTCAGGCACACACACAACAGACAAATCCCCCCACCCTTTTTCTTTGTATCGGGGATTGAACTCAGGCCTCTCGGCCACTGAGCCACATCCCAGCCCTATTTTGTAGATTATTTACAGACAGGGTCTCACTGAGTTGCTTACCACCTCATCACTGCTGAGGCTGGCTTTGAACTCATGATCCTCCTGCCTCAGCCTCCAAGCCACTAGGATCACAGGCGTGGGCTACCATGTCTGGCTTAGAAATCCCATTTCTTATTTGAAGTACTTGAGATCTTCAGAACAACTGGAGTTATTCTGTAACAAACATGCACACATTTTTATTTTACATTTTCTGCACAGTTTTCGAGCTAATGAACTGCATATTGTTTTGTCCTCCAAGAAAGTATATCAAAACTTTTTCTCTTCTTTATGTTCACCAAGTACAGATGCAGTTTCCATGGGTCAATTTCCATTTTTCTCATATCCATACTCATTGGTTTCAAAAGCCCTTGGCCTAGAATAACACTCATGCTTTAACAGAAGCTTTGCAGTAGCTCACTATGGATGTTTTCCACAGGGGCGGATCTGAATAGATTTGTGGAGTAACACTGAGTATTTTCACATAAATTGAATCCAAATTGTTGATCTTAATCTGAACATAAATGTAAAACATATTCCAGGTTATTTTTAGGTAATAAATTAGCAATATTATATCAACAAAATACCAACATTTCAGAACTTTTAAAACAGCAGGAGTCCCCAAAACCAGTATTGCAATGACTATTACTTATGGAGTATTATTTATAGACAAAGAATGGGGAGATTAAGCAACTTGCTTGAGGTCACCCAGATGGTAGTCATGTATCATTTAATGATGGGGACACATTCTGAGAAACACCTGTGAGCTGATTTTGTCACTGAACAAACAACATAAAGTGCATCTGCACAAACCTAGCCGGTGCTGTCAGTCACTCCACCCCAGGGAAGGGTTAAAGAGTGCATTAAATAAACCAGTGACACAATGGCTCATTGTCATCTGGGAGCTGCTATATAGTCTACATAACTGTGAGTGCTCTACTTTTGTAACCACCCAGGTCTGCTTACACCAGCATCACCACAAACATGTGAGCGATGAGTTTCGTCACAACGTGGCAACTACGGCAGGGTCACCAGCTGACAGGAGTCTTTCAGCTCTAATCTGATGGGATCATCATGACATATGCATGTGGCCCAGGTTGACAGGAACATCATTACATAGCACGTCTACAGTAGGTGGCTTGGAGAGCATGAGAAACATCAACCCACAGGCTTGGACACACCAAAGGTTGTTCAGATACAGAGCTCTGAACTGGTCCTTCCAGAGGCTCAAGGGCACAGAGAAGGGTAGAATATGTCCAGGGAGGGGTTAGGGAACAAATCAGGACCCACCCCGCTGAGGATAACCTCAGGAGGGGTTGGACATTCAACTTGGCCACGGGCTCAGGTGCAATTATTGCTGAAAGCCCAGTCTTTGTCCCCAAAGCCAATCCAATAATGAGGACATAGTTTTGAGAAAAAGGAAAAAGAAGGTTTATTGCTTTGCTAGCAAAGAAAAAACATAGGGGACACTCCTGTCCCAAAGGCTGTGATTCTGCCCATCCAAGGAACAGGGGGCTTTTAGAGAGGTCATTCAGAGAAAATGAGATTTGGGAGGAGAGATCAGGAAAAAGATCAGGGAGGAGGTCAGGAAGAAGATAAGGGAAAAAAGATCAGGAAAGAGAAGTTTAGGGAAAAGAAGATTGGGAAAAAGAAAAAAACATGTCAGTTTCAAAGCCACAAGGGACACAAAGTACCAAGTGATCCCCTGTCACACAATGTTTTGGAACTTTCTGGAGTTGCTGTCAATCCTCTGGATCCTGGGTAGGAGATGGGTTGTATGCAGGAGACCAAAGAGGGGAGTTCCACAGACAGGATGATCCAGGACTGTGCCTTGGGTGCTGGCTAGGTGGGAAGGGGGATAAGCCAAGAGGGGAAAGTGACCCATGGAAGGTCCCAACTCTGAGAAAACCCCAGCCTTCCTAGAAGCCTTCCCTTCTTTTCCATTATTAAGGACAAATGACCCCATTCCCCCTCGGGAGGGAGGACAGCATGACTCCATCAACCTGGTTCCTGTCCTCCAAGGATGTCACCTTGGGCTGGGAAACTGGAATAAAAGAATTTTAAGGCCACGGGGCTGGGCTGTGGCTCAGTGGTAGAGCACTCGTACAACACCTGAGAGGCCCTGGGTTCAATCCTCAGCACCACATAAAAATAAATAAATAAAGGGCTGGGGTTGTGGCTCAAGCGGTAATGCGCTCGCCTGGCCTGCGTGCGGCCCAGGTTCGATCCTCAGCACCACATACAAACAAAGATGTTGTAACTGCTGAAAACAAAAAAGTAAATATTAAAAAATTCAAAATAAATAAATAAATAAACATTAAAGTTTGGGGGTGTGTCTCAGTGGCACAGCACCTACCCAGCATGTGTGAGACCCTGGGTTGGATCCCCAGCAAAAAATTGCAAGGAGAGGGAAAAAAAATAAACACTGGCTCTTGTCTGAGCACTGTGCTAAGAGGTCTATGCTGCATGATCTTGGGCCAGTCACTTTCCCTTCACGGGTGGCTGCACAGCTGTGGAACATATTTGGAAATAACAGACATAAAACACTCATAATGGTGCCAGACACAGTTTGTACTTAATATATATTGCTATGTGCTGAGAATCTTATAAATATATTTATCCACTTAACCTTTACAACTCTGAAGAGGTAGAAGACATGGTCCCTTTATATAGATGAGGAAATTGAGATGAGGTTGTTTCAAGTCATCTAGACAGGAAGAGGTGGAGTTCAGGTCAAGGGGTTCCAGGTTTAATTTGGGTATACTACATAGCAAAGTGTTTATTACTTGGAAAGTCAGAGAGGTAGACAAACAAACAAAAAAATGAGTTAACAGCAGTCTGTCCATTCCTGTGGTGGCATAAAGGAGTTTTTTAAAAGATACTTAAATGCATAAGGCCCTGGGTTCAATCCCAGCACCCCCCTAAAAAAAGTAGGGTCTGGGGTTGTGGCTCAGCAGTCGAGCACATGCCAAGCACATGTGAGGCACTGGGTTTGGTCCTCAACACCATATAAAATAAATAGAAGAAAAATTCTGTGGATACACACACACACACACACACACACACACACACACACACATCCGAGATTGAACCCAGGGGCGCTTTATCACCCATCTTCATCTCCAGTCTTTACTTTTTTGTTTGGGGACAGGTCCTTGCTGGGTCGCCCAGGCTGGCCTCTGACTTGCAGAAGGGTCTGCGTCTGCCTCCAGAGTTGCTGGGATTGCTCGCGCGTGCCACAGGCTCCCTGCGCTTGCAATGAAGGCTCTGTTAGGCTGTGCTCAGGACACATCAGGGTCGGCCAAAGCTGGGGCAGCAGTACCGCATGTTACCACCATCTCACTCACAGACAGAAAGGCCGTCGGTTCTCACCACGTACCCCCTCTCTCGCTACAGCTGGAGGATGCACATCTGCATTCCGTTGTGCTCCAGCGCGGTGACTTCTGCAAAAGCGAGATGCACCGACTCCCTCGCTAGTTAACCACAACCTGCGCTCTCAGCCAAACCCCCGTCCCACACCGGGGCAGCGAGTAGAGCCCGGAGGGCAGAACCTGTGGCCTCGCACCACCTTCCAGGCCCTCGGCCCCAGGGCACCCATAGCGTGGGACCAGCTCCGAGGGTCTCCGCCTAGAGGAGGTGGCCTCTACTTGGGAGTTACCCGACGACCACTTGGCCGGAAGAGGTGTGCCTGAGTGTGGGGCGCGGAGGAGCAGGGCTCGGGGTCCCTGCCGGGCACGGGGTACCGAGGCCGAGCCGCAGTAGAAAGAGCCGCGCG